TGACTCTAAGGCACACTTCCTTCCTTCATTCCTCCTTGTTCTGTACATAATTATTTGTTACTAGTTTATAGCAGGAGGAAAAGACAATAGTGCCCACACAACTTAAATATGCTGGCCAGCAACTGTGATGGAGGGGGAGAGCAAGATACTCCCACATTCCTTGTCTCTACCATGCACATTCTCCAACCAACTTCTCCAGAGAGCAAGTAGGTAGACAAGGAGCTCTCTAACTCCTGCATACCAAGTCCCAAGGTTCAAGTAGCCCAAATCCACATAAGAGTGAGGGTGGGGAGAAGTCTTACTCCCTTGCACAACAGACACAAGTCACAATCTAGCCCTAGGTGACTAAGGTGCAGGTACATGATGTTACTTAGCTGCCTGGCTCCCATTGTCATATATGGGAATAAGGTACCTATATAGGAATTATGTACTACATATACTATATTTTATCTATGCTTACTATATGGGGGTGTGGGGTGTGGGTGTGTGTGTGGGTGTGTGTGTATATAGTTTGTGACAAATCACAAGTTATACACTAAATACTATTGTGGATTTGGGCCTAAATAACTGAACATACCTGTGAAAAAATAATTTTCAAAGAATAAATTTAATGACAAAATAGTCTTGATAAAATGATAAAATAGTCTCAGAAAATAAGACTTTGTGACTACTAACACCTAATAACAGTATGAGTTTGAACAGAAAATAACACCAAAGTAGAAGTAACACCAAAATAATGAAAGCAAATTTGCACAAATATCAGTAGAAACCTTTTTTTTTATTATTCATCACCCGGATTGAGTTCTAAAACAAATATATTTTGCCAGCAAAGTCAGAAATTCACAATGAAGTATTTTGGTTTTCCAGCAGATGTCAGCACACCTCCCCCAGCAAGTCCTTAAGTACATTTAAAATACACTTTTAAAAAGCTGGTTGCACAGTAACATAACATGACAATGCTTTGCGGGTTTATTTATTGGGGCAACGGTTTTTCCTTTAAAGTCTATTTTTCTAATCTGCAGTAGCGAGTTAATGACCTCATATAACTTCTTCCGCTAATATGAACCAATTCCTGACAAGGTTAGCTGTAAATAGGAATGAAATAATAATAAAATCATTAATGCAAAAGAGCCTTTAGTCTTATTTAACTTATTATTAACTTTATTTAACTGGTTTCATAACAGCATAGTACTCAAAGAAGTGTTGGTTAAAGTCAGAGTCCCTCTGCTGTAGTCTGAGTACCCCATTCTGGATTTGTGTTTTAAGCTTCCTGAGCGCATCCAGATAAGTGAAGGTGTGCAATACGCAGTGCCACAGAGCACACACACCACACGTGCAGGCGATCCCTGCGTTGCTAATTTGCAGTGCAGGGTTGGGATGGGTGTTGACACTGGGAGATCCTGGTGTCAAAAAAACCCACACCTTAAAAAAGCAAGGTGGCGCACATGGCAGTGTACTACCAGAAACTTGAGCGTGGCTGGCCAGAGCCACACTCCGGCTGCCAGCCAGGCTCTGTGCTGCTGGATTGCCATGGCTGAAGCCCCTGGAGGCCCTCAGGACCCCAGGTAAGGCTGCTGAAGCCAGCCCAGGTGCTGGTCCCAGCCTCACCTGGGGCAAAATGCTGCACACCAGAGCACACGTGCATGGGCATTTCTCAGGGTTAAGTAGCAGCAGCACATATTGTGCCGCTGCTGTTTTCCCCAGGGGAAACGCATGTTCCCAGTTGTGGGGGTGTGCCTTGTGAGTCTAAGTAGGCTGTAATGGTGTCTCCTTCCTTGGCCTCTCTGACACAAGTGTAAGCTGTCCATCTGTTACCTCATCATGGAAATGCAGCCTCATGCTCCAGTGCTTTACTTCAGCTAGAACAAAACAATAAAGTGTTAATGAATATTTCCCAGCTTCGGTTTCTTCACCATTTTTGAACAATCGTTGGACTTTAACATCCTTTAACATTGCCCCTCCTACGTATAACTTATCTTCTGAATCATGGAGCCCCTTTCTTTCTTCCTCTTCTTCAGCTAGAGTCCTTCTTCCTTTGCTTGTTAAAAAAAAGGATATAAGAATATGGTCCCCTGTTTCATTATTCTGTCTAAACTTCCTTTATCTCTGACAGTTCCTTTGAATGTTTAAAGGTAAACATTACTTGGTTTCTTATATTCCTGGTTGGATATTCACCAGGCTCCAAACTTCACTCCTTTCAGACCACACCTATCTAGAAATCATTCTCCCAGCAGAAACGCCTGCCTGAAATATCCATTTTTCATCCCAAGCTAGTAGTAAACACTAAATTATACTTGGATTCTCCAGATCATGGGTTATACAAAGTAAGCATTATGTCTAGTATGAATAAGAGGTGACAAAACTAAGTGTAATAAGAACAACGTTCACCAAGAATACATAAACTATAAAGAAGATAAAAGCAAAATTGCAATCCATTGTGCATTCAGTCCTGCTGTTCTGCTTTCCTGTATATCGTTTGAAAGGGGATTTATGTCCTGCAGTACAGGATGCATTAGATTAATGGAGAAAAGCTACATGAGGACCTAATCACATATGTTAAATCCTTTTTGCCAGACTTTGGAAATAGGTGCTTAGACCAAATGTTATAAACAACCAGATTCTGACTTTAGTGCTACCGTAGTCTTTTGTTGTAATAGCCAGGCACAATTAGCTTGCAGAACTACCAGACATACAAAGAATCACACTTGCTGTTAGACCCTGAAAGAGGATGCAGCAGAGTCCTTTCCATGGTTTGCCAATTCATGATCAACACAGGGGGAAAAGAAAAATGATGCCGCTTCTTCCTAACTCCTTTTGGGATGGTTAACATCCAGGAGAGGAAAAGACCATTACTTATTCACAAAAGGGTGCAAGAATGTACTGTGATTCTGGCCTTCTGCAAACCTTTATACCATCTCTTCTGTTGTACACTTCGGGTCTGACCTATTGCCAGTTGAAGCTATTGGACATTTTTCTGTTTGCTCCAAATAGTATTAGATCAGATCCAAACACCAGTGCTAGCTGTTATCTAGATCAGGGCTGCCCACTTCAGCATGGCTGAGGGTCATATACTGTGCAGACTATATAACTATGGGCACCCACCCCATTCTGGATTCATGAGTCCTGTTCTAGACTCTGAGAACCCTCCCCTGCCACTTGGCAGTGGTAGAAGCAACTGGAGGGGCCTGCAGGCTGCATGTAAATATCTTGCAGGCTGCATGCAGCCCGGGGATCACATACTGACTCTTAGCAGGCTGCATACAGCTCTCAGGCCACCAGTTGGAGAGTCCTGATCTCAATCTACAGGTAAGAAGCTATAAGGGCAGCAGGGTTTTTACTGTTTGCACTGATTTTGGCCTTCTGTGTCTCCAAGTTGTAAAACACAATCACATGATAAATTATTTTCACTATTAAATTCTTCAGTGTTGTACAGTGAAGCAAAAAATAATTCTTCCTATTCCTTTGAAACAAACCAAATTCCATCTAAATATGAAAAAAAAAAAATTGAGGCACCACAAACTTCTGCCCTGGGCAGAAAGCTTTTAACCTTGTACATGGCCTTAAATCTCACTATACTGAGGTTTCTAGAGAAACATCAGTCTTATGCAGACTCTCTGTATAAAAGGAAATTACACACACACTGTTTTGACATTATTCATGCATCTAATTTCATCTGATAAACATATTTCAGAGAAAATGAATTACCAAAGAAAGCTCTGGACAACAAATGTTATGTAATTTCCAGTAATATCAATTTCCCAGAAGGCCATATATATACAAAAAATATTTTTCTAATCATATTTCATCACTTAAAATTCCAGACAGAATCTGGATGCATAATAGTGCATGATTAGTAAATAATTACATTTTTACCAACCTTTTCAAAACTTCACAAATAATCAACATTAATCTCTTTGAGGACATATATCGGTCCTGGTTTCATGCCAGTATTTCCACCCTTTTCTAGTTAAAAAAAGGAAAGGTCTGAATATGAATGTTACAAACAAAGGAAAAAAATGTTTTTTCACAATATTTTAGGTGGTGTAGTGTGATTCAACTGCATTCCTAATCCAAAAGTTGTGAAGGTTGTTTAACTAGTTATTTTGATAAGGTTAATAGCCATTATGCAGCTTCTTAACATAATCTAGGACAGTTTCTCAACCTGTGGTACACATACCCCTGGGAGTACACAAGACACAGGCAGAGGGTACATGGATACCCTAACACTCTTTCTCTCTCTCTTGCCCTCCTTTCCTCTCTCTCTCGCCCCTTCCTTCTCTCAAAACTATGGCAAAAAATTTGATACACTGTGCACTGCTCGGCGCTTTAAGTTCCCCAATAATAATTTGGCGTGCCACGCTTTGCGCAGCACTGGATTCAGCCCTCCTAGCTTTGGCCAACATCACCTTTATCCGAGGTACATACTCAAGTTGTGCACCCCTAGTGTAAAAGGTGGCAACCCTACCCACACCAGATCAGACATATGTCATATCATGGCCTTATATAAACAGCTTTTCGTCCAACGCATGGCATACATTAGTCTGTAAATATAAAATCCCCTGGAAAATTGACTGTTGGGGTACTTATTGAAATGTTCAGAAATTAGGGGTACTTGCTACTTAAAAGGTTGAGAAATACTGATCTAGGATGACATAACATCATTGGGATTCACATTATCAACCCAGCTAACATGAGAGCAAACAGTAAGCTTGTCTTCTTCACAAAATAGTGATATTACTTTGCACACGTTTTAATTCTTAAAGAAATGAAAATGTACACTGATGTTTTGATTTCTTTAAATTAAACAGTGGGGGTGGGGGGTTGAAAACCTGCATTAAAATTGAAGTAGGTTTTACTTGAGCAGGCAGGTTAAATTAACTGAAAGGATGACACAGCAGGGGAACAATATGAGTAACCAACCCTGATAAACTTGGTTAATTATTGACCATAAGGCTTCCAACAGAGTACTGCAATATTACTGAAGAAAGTTATTAACTTTCAGTGCCTAGAAAAAGAAAAGTATTGGCTCTGTGGGCAGCTTGATTGTTGTTTTGTGAATTTTATGGAAGTCCAGAATGAATAAACAAAAAGTAAAGAAGATGTCTCTCAATAAAGTTGAAGACACACTGGCACTTCAGTGGGCAAGAGTTGCAAATCGTGGGGAAGAGAAGAGAAAGACTGAGAAAATCAAAATTATTCAGAGGGCTGCGGCACTCAGCTGTTCAAATGTGGATAGGGAGAAGGCAGCTCTCAAGAAATATTTGGAGAAAATTAAAACTTCCACGAGACACCTGAGTCAAGACAGTCACCATGAGTCAAACATCAGTAAGTGTACTTGACTGGATCTTCAATGCAACAAATGACTTTAGGTGAGACAACCATTTGCTTCTATGTCATGTAGCTGCAGGATGAAACAGACCTTCACTCTCGACAGAGTAGACTGCCCTAGATGATGAAGCAACCTGAGATTTTAATTTTATTATTCTGCATAAGAAATCACCCTCTATAAAACACTAAGTTTTGTCTTGCTAATGGCCACCCTAGAGCCTAGACTCTGGATAAGAAAGCACAAATACCCATATTGAAACATCCTAGAAGAAAACTGACTATTAATAATGCTGCTTAAGCTACAGTGTTTGACAAAATCTTGTGCAAAAGAAAAATCTTTTCACCACTCGAGATCTGAAGAAGTATCTGGGGCTTCTGTGAGTCACTGCAGAGGCAAGAGTGGGTTCTGAAAGTGAGACTCCAGGACAATTGTCACTGAGTCATTTCTTCCTCGGTAGTCTATAAAATGAGATAACTCCTATAGTTACATTTATTTAGCTGGAACATTTTATGGATCTAATAGTTTTATTTACCTTCATCTATATTTCATTTGCACTAGTTCCAGACAAATGTTAGAAATTTTGCCACAAAAAAACAAACATAATGTGTTTGAACATGTGGCCTCAGAAATGTAGTAAAATACTTCATTTATTCATTCAGAGTGGAAAAGGAAGATATTATAAAGCAAAGTAATAGTTAAATAATTTTAAACTGATTTTGCTAAAGAAACTCATAATATTCCTCTAAAAAGCCAATATCCAATGGCTTTTATCTGTTTTATATTTAGCTTTTTGTTAAAGAAAAATAGTGGTTAAAATCTATATGAGCCTATTTTAAAAGAAACATAACTTAAACTCTTATTTTCGGGGGGGGGGAGTTTAATGGCTCTTCTATGACAATAAATAGAACTGGTTGGTATTATCCAATCTTTTTCCACTGAAAATCGCCTTTTTAAAAAAACTTTTTTTTTCAGAAGCTTGCCAGCATTATTGAAATTGTTCATTTTTCTGTGAGAAATACTGGGCTTTAAAAGTTGTCAATAAAGCAATATGAAATATGAGCAATATTGTTACTGACACCTTTCATCTATAGTGTAACTAGGATGGGGCACCAGACCACACTCTCCCCCACCAAGTCCTTACCACAGAAAGGGCAGCCCTGCAGTCAAACCATAGGAGCAGCCCTACCCCGAACAGTGCATCTGGGACGGTCCTGGCAAGAAGAAGTCTACTGCTCACCCCATGGGGAGTTTTTCTCATAGCCCTGTGCCCAATTACATATCTGGGGAGGTGGGGAGTAAATGTTTGTAATCCTTCAAAATAAAAAGAGTTTCAAATTTTCTCTTTCTTGTATTTGTGTTTGTGTATGTATAACCGATTTTTGTTGTTTTTTTACCCAGTTCTATTAACAACTGCTCTTCACTGGCATGATCTTGGAGATCCTGCTAATTCCCTACAGGATTCTGCCAGGTTCCTCTGAACTTCGCCCTCAAGAAATGCTTCTTTAATTCACTATTTCTTCCCAGAGATCATCATTGTAGGAGGACTTCTTGTACTCAATATATAACAAATGTGTAGTAAACTATAAGAACAAACACAACAAATGGTCAAACATTTTTTATTTCACGCGCGTGGAATTCTTTAGTCCAGGAATACTCATGAAAACCTTTCCCTCCCTTGATCAGCAAGGATTCACAATACTTATCTCTTCTACTTTCCATGACTGCAACATGAACATTCTGAGTTCATGAGTAATATATAATGCATGATTCTTGTGTTATAGCATATAGCCCATTTAATGCTTCACAGATAATTCATTGACAAGAGCAGGTACAAGCATGCACTTTCCTAGAAAAGTAAAAAAAGATATTTATAAACAGAACGACAGCTAGTTCTTGCTAAGATGGGATGAATTTTTCTGCTCTAAGTAAAAGCTTGATGAAGTGAAAGAGAATTATAAAATATTTACAACAAATTGCATTGTAATGCTGAATTTCTAACTTGAACTAAGACCCAGATCATATTCTGACTTCAATAGGTCTAATAGGTCTGTAACTTCCCAACTCAGATATATATCTCCAGGCTCAGGAGAGAGATCTTACAGCAATCCCATTTCAACAAGGGGCAGCTTAGTGCTACTTCAGAGACCAGTACTTTCAATTTGGAATTCACTAAAGCCCAAGATGTAAGACAAGTAGCCTGGAGATTCAGGCAGCAATTAACAGCATATGAGAGACCCACAATGCACTGATGGCCAAATGAAATAATGGGCTGCAAGTGCATAGACAGCCTGCAACAAAGATATCTGACCACTGTCAACAAATTTTGAGCAAGGTGGGAAGGGTGAAAAAGAATTTAAATAGACCCTTGGGTCATTCCAAAAAATGTGAGAAGTTTATTGATTAGTTGACAAAAACAAGATAAATTGCAGAGGATAAGCATAATCATAGAGGATGAGTCTTTTTTGCCATGGAGTTGCATTGTCCAGCTTTTCAGTCTCCACAGTGGGGGGGCAGGGGGAATTCTCTCTCAATGTTTCAATGGGCAGGTGTTGCTGAAGAGTTACCCTCCAACTTCCTTCCTGTCACATCCCCTATTTATGGATGGCTTGTAAACATGAACTTAATATTCTAACAAAATATTCCTGATTGGCTTTATTTAAATGTCTTTGTTTCACTGAAGCGTACAGAGCTGGATTAGATAAGATTCTTTTTTGTGGATAAGAGCCATAATGATTGTGCAGAGCTCCAGTATGAAGCTGGAGATAGGCCTGTTGAGGGTTAGGGTCAGAGGGGAGAGGGTTAGAGATAGGCCTCTAGGTTAGGCTCAGAGGGGAGAGCAACAAAAGTGATGTCGTGGTGGGGGTCTGCTATAGACCACCAGACCAGGAGGAACTGGTGGATAAGGCTTTCTTTAAACACCTAATGGAAGTTTCCTGATCATAGACCCTGGTTCTCATGGGGAACTTCAATCACTGTGACATCTGGTGGGAGGGTAATATAGCAGTATGCAGGCAATCCAGAAAGTTTCTGGAGAATACTGGAGACAACTTCCTGGTGCAAGTGCTGGAGCAGCCAACTAGGGGCAATGCTCTTGACCTGCTGCTCACAACCAGGGAACAATGTGCATGGAATGTAGTAGTGGATGGCAACTTGGGCAGCAGTGACCATAAGATGATTGAGTTCAGGATCCCGAGGAAAAGAAGGATGGAGAGTGTGACAGAATGTCACCTCTGTCTCCCCCCAAAAACTCTGCTCTGTGACAATTTGGTTAATAAAGGCTCTTTAGGTAACCCTGAGTTGTAACATTCCTGAGGGTGGGGGGAAACTTGCTTCTTCTGCCAACATGACTGGCATCACATACATGGGCGAGGGGCATACACTTCCTATTGTTAGGCAATGCCAACCTGATTGGGAGGGGGCTAGAGACTCTGCCAGTCTGCCCAGCAACCAGTGATGCATTTCAAATTGGTTGGCTGGCATCCAACAGGTGCTTGCCTCCACTGGACCATGTAAATGAGGTCATAAAGGCTATATAAGTTAAGGACTGCCCAGGAGGAGGGACGGTAGCCATGATCAAAACTCAGAGAGAAGAATTGGATTATCTGAAATTTGCTCTCTGTCTCTCAGAACTGATGATCAATTAACTGCTTGCCTCCAGAGGGAATCTCCACCTGCCTCTGGAAGATACTTGTGAATAAGCTACCTGAGATCTAACTAGATATATAGCTTGCAGTAACTCAGATGCGTGATCAAAGGC